AAAATGGAAAATGTCGGTAACTGAATATAAATAAAGTGATCTATAGATGGAGCTGTAACTTTTTTTTTTAATTTAATTCATTCATTCTAAATAAATTATCATTTGATTAAAATAATTATTTTTATTTTAATATAAATTAAAATAAATAATAATAATTAAAAATTATTAAATAAGAATAATAAACAATTAAATTTAGAATTAATTACATTAATGAATTAAATTGTATTAATTTAATTAATATTCAATTAAATAATAATGATTATTTATTTAATTTAAATTATTTATTTTAAAAAATTAAATAATAACAAATTTTATAAATAAATAAATTGTATATAAAAATAATAACATAAAATAATAATAATATGCAATATAAATACTATTAATAAATAAGTAATGATTAAATGTAAATAATAAAATAAATAAAACACAATTAAATAATCGTAGTCAAAATTATTTTTTTCATTTTTATAGATTTTAATTGAATAATTAAATTAATTAAAGTAATTATTAACCTTTTAAAATAAAATATTAATAAAAAAACAGAAAAAATTAATTTTACAAATAATAGTATTTAAAATTGTATTCTGATAATTAAAAAAAAATAATAATATTCAAAATAATAGAAATAATTATTCAATATGAATAATTTTTATTTTATTTTACTGCCTATTTATGATTCTTTTAATTGTTTATTTAATTGAATTAATTGTAATTAAATTACCAATTAATAAAAATAAATATTTTTTTAATAGAATATAAATTAACATTAAATAACAATTTTTTTTCCTCTAAATAATAAGTATAATATTATTAATATGTATATTAAATATTTTGTAAATAAATAAATTTGTAATAATTAAAATAAAAAATAACAATATTAATAAGCAATAAAAACAATAATAAAAAATGTATATGTATAAATAAATAAATGCAAATGAATAATTGTAATTCATATGGATAATACGTATAATTAATTATAATTACCTTGATTTTATTATTATTTGATTCATTAAAAAAATATTGTTTTTAAATTTTAAGAAATTTTTTGCATATTTAAAGAAAATAGATTTATGTAAGTAACAATAATTAAAGTATCCTTAGGAAAAATTTAAAAATTGTATTCTTTATTAATTATAATTGATGGTGGCAGGTAAGTAAATTGTAGATAATAAAATTAATTGTATTATATATTGTACTCATTCTATTCAAAAATTTGTTTACTTTTTTTAATTTTATAAATGGTAATGGTACTTTAACGAAAATATTATATAATGTGCCATTTTCATTAACTTTTTTTTAATTTCTTCCTTTTTTTAGCACATTTTTTGTGCCTTATAGATATCAAAAGTATCTTGATTTCTATAATCAAGACTCCTTGATACAACACTCCTTTTTGCGTTGAAGTAACGACGAGTAATTATATATAATGATGAGAAGATAGATAAATTGTTTAAGGTCAGGTAAATAGATACACCAAAAAAAATTCTTGTTTTAAGCGGATCCTTTTTATTTTAAAGCATATTTTCCTCTTGAATATGGCTCAAAAATAATCCTATCATTTTAACAAAATTATTTTCCTTTTTCTCTCTAAATCTGAATTAGTAGAAAATTAGTAATGAAATGACGAAAAGTCGTCCACCAAATAATTTAGTAATAATTTTACTAACAAATAGTATTATTTTACTAATTATTAGTAGAGTTTTACTAAATGTTTAGTAGAATTCTACTAACAATTAGTAGAACTGTTTTATTGAAAGCATTAGAAGTCGATAAGACAGTTTCACTAATTCATTTAGTGAAATTCTACTAAAAGATTTGTAAAATTTTACTAAAAATAAGTAATATCGTAATATCCTATTAATTGAAAAGGGGAAAGTCGTCCATGAAAACTACTGAAGTGAGTGAGTGAGAATATTCCTCTTAAAATAAGTGGAAAATTCTTTTAGATGAAGTGTAATATTCTTGATTGAAGAGAAATTTTCCTCTTAAAATAAGAATATTTTTTTCATTAATTTGAATTTTCTCATTTCTTATTCTCCTTGCATCTCGGCTGCCAGCGCAGATAGTAGTCTAGTTGTTCAAATACGCTTATATGTGGTGTATTTAACAATTTTATAACCAGTTTTGATTGTCTTCCATCATTTGTGATGATGTTGAAATTATACATTTTTCTTCCTCTTTGACGTCTGTAAATAATTTTGAAGCATTAAAATATTATTACTAGTGGAATTTTAGTATTATTTAAGTTTGTTGGTTTTTAAAAGTTTAAATTATATTTTGTATCCAGTTTTATTGTTTCTACTCCGGCAGACATAGATGAAGGTAAGTAAAATAAAATAAAAGTAAGTAAAAAATTAAATAATTTTATATAATGTAATTTTACATGTGTTTCAACGAAAATCATTTTTTACAAAATAAATTATACATATGATTTTATATTACCTTTTTCGCATTTTATTAGAAGCAGGAATTTTTTTTGGTTTAGCATCTTTTTTTTATAATGTTGTACCATCTTTTCTCAACACTTGATAATAGTGGAATTAAAAAAAGGTTTCTTATAATTTTCATAAATAAAAAAAAGATGCTAAACCAAAAAAAATTCTTGCTTCTAATAAAATGCGAAAAAGGTAATATAAAATCATATGTATAATTTATTTTGTAAAAAATGATTTTCGTTGAAACACATGTAAAATTACATTATATAAAATTATTTAATTTTTTACTTACTTTTATTTTATTTTACTTACCTTCATCTATGTCTGCCGGAGTAGAAACAATAAAACTGGATACAAAATATAATTTAAACTTTTAAAAACCAACAAACTTAAATAATACTAAAATTCCACTAGTAATAATATTTTAATGCTTCAAAATTATTTACAGACGTCAAAGAGGAAGAAAAATGTATAATTTCAACATCATCACAAATGATGGAAGACAATCAAAACTGGTTATAAAATTGTTAAATACACCACATATAAGCGTATTTGAACAACTAGACTACTATCTGCGCTGGCAGCCGAGATGCAAGGAGAATAAGAAATGAGAAAATTCAAATTAATGAAAAAAATATTCTTATTTTAAGAGGAAAATTTCTCTTCAATCAAGAATATTACACTTCATCTAAAAGAATTTTCCACTTATTTTAAGAGGAATATTCTCACTCACTCACTTCAGTAGTTTTCATGGACGACTTTCCCCTTTTCAATTAATAGGATATTACGATATTACTTATTTTTAGTAAAATTTTACAAATCTTTTAGTAGAATTTCACTAAATGAATTAGTGAAACTGTCTTATCGACTTCTAATGCTTTCAATAAAACAGTTCTACTAATTGTTAGTAGAATTCTACTAAACATTTAGTAAAACTCTACTAATAATTAGTAAAATAATACTATTTGTTAGTAAAATTATTACTAAATTATTTGGTGGACGACTTTTCGTCATTTCATTACTAATTTTCTACTAATTCAGATTTAGAGAGAAAAAGGAAAATAATTTTGTTAAAATGATAGGATTATTTTTGAGCCATATTCAAGAGGAAAATATGCTTTAAAATAAAAAGGATCCGCTTAAAACAAGAATTTTTTTTGGTGTATCTATTTACCTGACCTTAAACAATTTATCTATCTTCTCATCATTATATATAATTACTCGTCGTTACTTCAACGCAAAAAGGAGTGTTGTATCAAGGAGTCTTGATTATAGAAATCAAGATACTTTTGATATCTATAAGGCACAAAAAATGTGCTAAAAAAAGGAAGAAATTAAAAAAAAGTTAATGAAAATGGCACATTATATAATATTTTCGTTAAAGTACCATTACCATTTATAAAATTAAAAAAAGTAAACAAATTTTTGAATAGAATGAGTACAATATATAATACAATTAATTTTATTATCTACAATTTACTTACCTGCCACCATCAATTATAATTAATAAAGAATACAATTTTTAAATTTTTCCTAAGGATACTTTAATTATTGTTACTTACATAAATCTATTTTCTTTAAATATGCAAAAAATTTCTTAAAATTTAAAAACAATATTTTTTTAATGAATCAAATAATAATAAAATCAAGGTAATTATAATTAATTATACGTATTATCCATATGAATTACAATTATTCATTTGCATTTATTTATTTATACATATACATTTTTTATTATTGTTTTTATTGCTTATTAATATTGTTATTTTTTATTTTAATTATTACAAATTTATTTATTTACAAAATATTTAATATACATATTAATAATATTATACTTATTATTTAGAGGAAAAAAAATTGTTATTTAATGTTAATTTATATTCTATTAAAAAAATATTTATTTTTATTAATTGGTAATTTAATTACAATTAATTCAATTAAATAAACAATTAAAAGAATCATAAATAGGCAGTAAAATAAAATAAAAATTATTCATATTGAATAATTATTTCTATTATTTTGAATATTATTATTTTTTTTAATTATCAGAATACAATTTTAAATACTATTATTTGTAAAATTAATTTTTTCTGTTTTTTTATTAATATTTTATTTTAAAAGGTTAATAATTACTTTAATTAATTTAATTATTCAATTAAAATCTATAAAAATGAAAAAAATAATTTTGACTACGATTATTTAATTGTGTTTTATTTATTTTATTATTTACATTTAATCATTACTTATTTATTAATAGTATTTATATTGCATATTATTATTATTTTATGTTATTATTTTTATATACAATTTATTTATTTATAAAATTTGTTATTATTTAATTTTTTAAAATAAATAATTTAAATTAAATAAATAATCATTATTATTTAATTGAATATTAATTAAATTAATACAATTTAATTCATTAATGTAATTAATTCTAAATTTAATTGTTTATTATTCTTATTTAATAATTTTTAATTATTATTATTTATTTTAATTTATATTAAAATAAAAATAATTATTTTAATCAAATGATAATTTATTTAGAATGAATGAATTAAATTAAAAAAAAAAGTTACAGCTCCATCTATAGATCACTTTATTTATATTCAGTTACCGACATTTTCCATTTTTTACTGCCGCTTTCCTTCTACATAGTTTGTATTACCGTGATATTTCATTATCATAGTGAATTTAGCCATAGGTGGTCAAATCGAATTAGGGACAATCGAAATTAGGGAACTTTGACAGACTATGGACCTACTCATACCTTATCTCGATATTCACTGATCTCTATATACTACTGGATAGTGAATGGGCGCTTGAAAGGTGGTCTCAATTGAAAGCTTTAGCGGCCATCTTTGTTGTTGGGAAAAAGTTATTAGACCACTGCTTGGTTTTCATAATATTTAACGTGCTTTTTTTATAAATTTTTAATCTATTATTATTAAGTTAACTATATAATGGTGCTCGATTGCGTGTTTTGTGGTGAAGAAGGGGAACAAGGAAAAAGGTCGTTTTTTGTGTAAGTACAGATGCAAAAAGTTGTATTAATTTATTTAGAACAAACTTAGGTTATGTTTATATTGTAAATGTCAACATTTTTATAAAGTTATAAATTAAATTAGTTATAAATTGATTTATATTAAATTTAATATTAATAAAGCAAAATTTTTAAGTAATTTTTAAGGATAGTTTAATGAAAATAAAGCCAAATATTTTTAACAGATGAGCGATGTGTATGACTATAAATTACTTATTACACGTTATTTTATTACAATGATTTAAGTTAAGTATAAAATAAGTCAATAGCGAAATATATTTTATTAAATTTCAATTTTTTGCAATAGATTTCTAAAAAGTCCAGAGCAAAAAACGGCCTGGATAAAAAATATGAACATTCAAAATTTTGTTCCCTCAAAATACATGAGGTTATGTTCCGACCATTTTGAGGAGAAATGTTTCCAAACAGGAGGAAACAATGTGAAGCTGAATCCTGGAAGTCAGCCAACAATATTTAGAACATACAAATCCGCTTGTGCTGCTTGTAAAGTTCAAAAAAATGAAGCTGACAAACAGCGATCGTTTCACAAGTAAGGAATAAAAAGCATTGATTTAAATTATTTGTAACCTTGTGTAATCATTTATTTCATATTTTATAATGATTTCAGGTTCCCCTTAAAAAATAAGGGACTCTTAAATGAATGGTTAAGAGCAATGAGGATTGAAAGTTTCACTCCAACTCGAAAAAGTATCCTATGCTCAGATCACTTCGAGAAATCCTGTTTTGTTCGGTGTGGGAATATTCGTTTAAAAAATTAAGCAGTCCCTACTATTTTCTCGTCTCTTAATTTACAAGGTATACCAAAGTTATTATTTTTATTATTATTATTATTATTATTATTACATTTATCTTCCAAGAAACTGGTTGTGTGGTGTGAACAGAATGAACAAAAAAATGCCACTATTATTATAGATAATTTAGACTCTGGATCTTAAAAGAGCACTTTACGCATAGACTTTACATGGTGAAAGTGCCCTTTTAAGATCCGAAGCCTCAATTATGTTTATATATTGTTATTATTATATTGTATCTTATTACTATTTTATATTCTACGCACAGTTTTCTTTCATTATACTTTTATTTATTTTAGGAAGAAAAAGAAAACATTCACCTGATTTGACTGCCTCTGAAGTTACTAGTGCTAAAAAGTCTGCTAATTTTATTTGGAATGAAGGCGACCAATCAATTTCGCCTCCTATATGTACGACTCCCACAACTGAAACTCCGAATATTGAAAATCTCGAAAACGAGTGCCCTCAGGACATGAAGTAAGTAAAATTAAAATATATTCTTTTAAAAAGCTGATTTACAGTTATAAACATACCTTATAATTTTCTTCTACTTTCAGTAGAACTCCATTTACCCGAGGGCCAAACTTCTGGTTCTCTAAACGCCCAGATATAAGAAGAGATTAAGTACCCTTAAAAATAATTTTAAAATATAATATAAAATTAATATAATTATAAATTATATAGATAAATAAGTATAGAGCTATACATATTAGTAAATAATTTGTACAATAATTGCATTGATTGGTTTTTTGTTCAATTTTTTTTAATTCATTAAATTTTAATTAATTTTTTTTATTACCCATATATAAATTATATACATATATTAGTATATAATGTATTAGTAAATAAGTTGTATAATAATTCCATCGATTACCTATATATAAATTATATACATATATTAGTATATAATAATTATATTAGTAAATAATTTGTACAATAATTCCATCGATTGGTTTTTTTTTCAATTTTTTTTAATTCATTAAATTTTATTTAAATTTTTTTATTACCCATATATAAATTATATACATTAATAAGTATTATATATATTATTAAGTTGTCTTATAATATCATTAATTGTTTTGAATGCAGTAAAAAATGTTGGAAAAGAATAAACTAATTTATTATTAAAATAACCTGTTTTGTAATTACAATAAAAAGAAAGTCGAAATTGCAAGATATAGTATCAGTTTTGCGAAAAAAAAGCCATTTCAGAATCTGGACTTCCGTGCTTATAGATTCCATAGCAGCAGATACTGATATTTCGCAGTTTCTACATCGATTTGATAAAAATTTAAAACGAGGGCAGCACACTTCTGTTAAAAGAAGACTTTTTAAATCAGAACGCGTTAAATGTGAAACTGAATATAACGCTAATGTTACTTCCAATGTTTCAAGAGAAAAATATCCACCTGCCTTAAGATCTTTTGCAATGACTCTTCATTTTTATTCTCCAAAAGCCTACGGCTTTGTAAGGCACAAATTTTGCAAAGCACTTCCTGACCCAAGTACTTTAAGATCTTGGTACTCCTCAATTAATGGAGAACCTGGGTTTACGTCGGAAAGTTTCCAGGCTTTACAGTTAAAAGTGTCTGAAGCAAAAAAAAAATAATAAAGAGATTTTGGGCTCCCTTGTTATGGATGGAATGTATATTAAGAAGGGTTTATCAGTTGCTCCCAACGGCAAAGTTAGAGGATACATTGATATAGAGTAACTATTCAGTGAACTATTTCAGTGAACTATTCAGTTCAGAGTTGTTTTAAGTGTAATAGGGTATGTCCGGGGGAGATGACCATACTTTTCTTAAAGTAATGTAAAAATGATAAAAAAGCGATTTATGTCTAAACTTTTATTGATAATTAAACATTGAACACTTAACTTTAAAGTACAATCTCAAAATTTACATTTTGTAAAAAGTGCATTTGACCATCTTTTCCGGAATGTCCGGGAGAGCTAGATGTCCACATGTATGCGAGAGAGATGGCCAAAACTTATAATTTTTTACTTTTAACTTAAACTTCATTTTTAATCGTTCAAATTACTTTTCTCTTATATTGGTCACATTTTGAATATTTATCATGGAATTCAGTGCAGTTTTCATGTAGCCAAAAATTTCAAATACTGCACTGAATTCAATCTTCATTCAATGTCGTTTGATTGTAACTTTCGACTCAACCTACAAATATATCTCCATCTCTGGTGTCAATTAGATAAATTATTTTGTTCTCAGGCATTTTTAATTTGTTTTTCTTTAATATTTCATAAGTATCTAACATTAACATAAAAAATTTTAAATAAAAGTCATTAATGGCCATCTCACCCAATAATACATGACAAAAGTAAACATCAAAATATTAAATAAATAAAATAATTTTTCCATTTATTTTTTGTTTATATCGAAGCGTGGGTTATGTACTACTTAATAAAACTTCAAATTAAAAAATCCGTTAAAAAATAACAATATGGCATTATTTTTTAACAATTGGTTGTTTACATTTATTATTAGTTACAAAAGGTTGAAGAATAACCCATAATAAGTGATATTTATTAAGAAATTCTGTAAAATATTTCAACTGGCCATCTCTCCCATTTGGCCATCTCCCCAGGACTTACCCTACAACTTTTAGATGAAAAAGCAATGGATTTTTAACGATTTTGCATTCAATCAGACAATTCTGAATTTAAGACTGATCTTAAATTAAGATTTTTTTTAGTGTGAATGTACAATCAATTTTCGAACTTCAAGCTTTTTGCACACGTCTAATATAGATATTTAGCATTAGATGCACGGAAAAAGATTAATCTCTAAACTTGAAATAATATTAATTTCAAATCCACTGAAATATAAGTGTATCTAAATTAAACATTATAGTCACAATTACTGTGATAAGTTGTGTTTGATTCTGTCAAACTTTATACCAGAAAAGGCCATAAATATTCGCATCTCTGATTTAGAGATTTGTTAATTTCACAACTTTTTTTATGTGAATTACATTGTGTTTTAAGTTAATCAGTGACAAAAGAGATTTAAACCATTTTAATTAATTAAGTATTAATTTTATTTTCAAGTATCCAAATAAAAGCGGTTTCATACGTTTCAAAGAGAATTTTAAATATTACTCCTTTCCTGCAGTTTCATTCAGTTTTCATTTGCCGTATTTTACGAATGTTTTTTGCGTCATCACGTGGGACATATATTTTTATTTATTAGACTTATGTTTCTTAACGGCTGATGATTTTATTACATCTTTTTGATTAAGTGAAATTTAATAGAGTACTTCCCTGTATTTGTTAAACTTATAATAAATATATGATTTTCTTTTGACACCTGAAAACCTAACCTATACAATTTTTTACTAAAACATGTTTTTTTATTAAGAAATGGAAAAAGAATGTTTATAATGTGTGATGTTGAGATAATTTTATTAAAACAAAAAAAAGAAATAAAAATATAAAATTCGTATTGTGTTTTAAAAATATCCAACTACTTTTTTATGCTTGTCAATGTATAGTTCATACAGGGAAAACAATATAAATATTTTGTGAATAATTCTCACTCTAAATTGTGATAAGTTATAAATTCTTATTATATCGAGTAATTACAAAAATACGAATTATATAAATATCAGGGTTGCTACAATTTTTCTCGAATGAAATTCCCTGACTTTTCCAGGTTTTCCAAGTCTCAAACAATATTTTTCCATACACATTAAAAGTGGGATTTATATAAAAAATAATTAATTAAAAAGCAAAATTTATGCAAACATAGCATATTTTATTGTTATATTAATCACTTCTAGAAAAATAACTCAGTTTTAAACATTTTTTCATTAGCGAAAATAAAATATTTAAAAATTTTATGGTTTTCAGGGTGTTTATTATTTAAATCTACAAATGGCTTTAAAAATTTTTATTAGTTTTTATGAATAATTAAATTCTTTTGACGAATTTCTTTAAATTTTTGAGAATAATGTTTTTTTAATAAAACCTTGAATTTCAAGGTCAAATTGACAGAAAACAACTTTTTTTACAACCAGCTTATAGCCCGTGGAAACCTTTTTAAAAAGCACTATTCATACTTTAAATTTGATTAATTTTACTTATCAATATATTAAATCGAAAAAAAAATATTTTCAAAAAAATTAAAATTTTAAAACCTTATAACTCAAAAAATATTTTATCAAATTAAAAAAAAAGTAATATTTACACTTCTACTAATAAGTACTAATCAGTAACATTTTAGCAAAGTTTGGAGAAAATTCATTTTTTTACCTGGGCAGTTGAGGAATTTTGCCCCATATGTTCGTAATATATGGTTACGTTTTATTTTTTTACTCCGAATCCCTTTGAGATCCCAAGAACAAACTTACAGGACATGTAAAGCACATTTGCCCTAAGATTTAGTAAAATTTTGAAAAAATCGAAGATGATGCTTTTTCAAAAACGGATTCTTAATTTTTCAAAATTTAAAAGAAAAAAATTTTTTAAATTTTTTTTATATTAATTTTAACTTAAAATATACTTAAAACCAAAGAAATCCTTTTTTTAAAATCCAAAATCGTTTAATTAGAACCAAAGTTATAGCACTTTAAAAAAAAGACAAAAATTTTTAAAATGCAATATTTTTAGTAATTTTCAAAATTTTGAAAAAATATTTGGTGGAGTTGTTTATCACTATAAAAGTAATAAATTTACCAAATTACAGCCATATCCCAACACGTCATGAAAATAAGTGTGTTGAACTGACGTGGAATCCACCAATAATAGAAATTTTTTTTAACTTGGTGAAAAAATTCTCGGTTTGACATAAAATTCCTAGCATATTTCCGGTTTTTCCCAGTTAGTAGACCAGTTAACAGTCATTTTTCACTGATTGGCCAATTAAAAAGTTACTGGAAATTTCTGTCACGAATATTGAAAATTTCAGTTATTTTTTAATTGGTCAATCAGTGAAATATGACTGAAATTTTAATCATTTTTAATTGATCTTCAGTGAAATTTTACTGATTCAAATTGCGAGAATATAGTCACTGAAAATCAGTCAAATTTTACTAATTCAGTTTTAGATAGTGTAGGGAAAAAAGTACCGAAGGGTACCTTTTCATGGTAAAATTCAGTAAAATTCGCTAAAAATTAACATAATTGAGGCTCCGGATCTTAAAAGGGCACACGCGCGAACACACGGCAAATAATTTGGCCCCTGGAGATAAAATTTTGAAGTTGTTCAAAATGAATTTTAAATTATTGTTTCTTATACAGAATTTCAAGGCGAAACTTTTTTTCTAATAACAATTTTTTATATAATTTCTCGTTTTCACGTAAATTGAAAAAACGTGATTTTTTAAGTTAAGAAATTTTAATGAATTTTTGACTTCAACTCGTGACTACTTCGTTAAATATTAATATTTTTGCACAAAATTTACACACAATATTCTTTAAACTATTCCAAGAGTGAAACAATATTTGGAAATTTAAAAAAAATTGTATGTCAAAGTTAATAATTATTTAAATAATTTTGTCGGAAAAATGATTCTCCTAGTTTCAATTGAAAAAGTTGAGTGACGAATTTTCGTTTTCGGAAAACGTTCAGCGACAAAAATGTTCATTAATATGTTAGGAAGTTTTTTGGAAAATATCTCGCTATTTGATAATAAATTAAAGACAATAGAGCAATTTTAACATCGTCGCGCTCTGCTGTAAAATTGCGGCGTGGCGGCACACGTGTAGCATGGCCGCCATTACAAGACCAATGTATATATAGTTAGACATTGTTTACGTTTACAGCAGAGCGCGACGATGTTAAAATTGCTCTATTGTCTTTAATTTATTATCAAATAGCGAGATATTTTCCAAAAAACTTCCTAACATATTAATGAACATTTTTGTCGCTGAACGTTTTTCGAAAACGAAAATTCGTCACTCAACTTTTTCAATTGAAAATAGGAGAATCATTTTTCCGACAAAATTATTTAAATAATTATTTACTTTGACATACAATTTTTTTTAAATATCCAAATATTGTTTCACTCTTGGAATAGTTTGAGGAATATTGTGTGTAAATTTCGTGGAAAAAGATTAATATTTAACGATGTAGTCACGAGTTGAAGTCAAAAATTCATTAAAATTTCTTAACTCAAAAAATCACGTTTTTTCAATTTACGTGAAAACGAGAAATTATATAAAAAATTTTTATTAGAAAAAAAGTTTCGCCTTGAAATTCTGTACAAGAAACAATAATTTAAAATTCATTTTGAACAACTTCAAAATTTTATCTCCAGGGGCCAACTTATTTGCCGTGTGCTCGCCATTGATATGTATTACTACTGGATAGAGGACACCAATGCTTTGGCCGTTTCAATCCCAGCGGGCACACTTCTCTTTTTGATAACTTCTAGTTATCGTTTTGAGTAGATGTTAACATTTTGATGCCTTTTAGTTATCGTGTGCCGCCTGGGATCTTGTGTCCAAGTAGAAAGTCGGAAGTTGGCCACCATTGGTGGCAATTTTTCATTTTGTAGCGGGTAAATTCAAAAGTATAAAAATATGATTGTTTAATCTTAATACTTAAGAAAAATAATTTTCAAGCGAAATCACTACCCAAGAGTAAAAGAATTATTATTTTAATAATAATTTCTGAAAGTAAACAAAATTATTATTTTTAATCATGGGTATAAAAATAATTATTTAGAAACAATTTGTCGACACTGCACATAAAATTATTGGAAATAAAAAGATATGTCCTTAATTATTTAACTAATAATACGATTAATTTATTATTAAAATTTGTGTTATTTACAAATAAAAATAAATTTTATAAATAACAAAAGAATTGTTAATTAAATTGTTAATTAATTCAAATTTATTTGTATTAAAATCTTGTCAAATTTCATTACTAGAAATGAATGGTATTTTTTATATTTACAATTAAAAATTTCCTTAACAAATTTATACCATATTTTTAAAAATACTAGTTTAGAAAAGTCCATTATAAATAAATTTTTATATTGGACATCAGTAAATTTTTTAAATTAAAAATATGCATTTAAAACACAAAATTATTGAAGGCCGTAGACAATTGTATATTTCTTTATCCATTAGTTGTTGCAAGTATCATGGCTGATTGTGCAAAAATATTTTTCTAGTATACTTCTTTGCATATAGTTATGTATATGACTTTCTGCTACAGCAGTATCAGTGGATGCAATTTTCTCTTCCTATAAATGATGTTGTAACTGTAAAATAAAAACATTGTAAGTTAATTTCCCCTGCAAAAATATGTCAATTTTTTCATAGCTGGCACCTATGTAAATTTTACAACAAATAAAATTTACAAAATAAAATTCACTAATAAATGTAAATAAATTGTATTCTTTGAAAATTTTTTTATTTTACAAACTAACAAGCTTACCTAGAGATTTATCTTTTTCGGATAAAACTAATACGTTTTCCATAATATTGTTATTCTCAAAATCTGTTAATTTTAATAATTTTGGAATTCGTAAGCCATTCGGTGAGACTTCTCTTTTGTTGCATTTATTATTAAAAGTTTCCTGAGAATTATGTATATCAACATCTATAAAAAAAGAAATCACTCTTAAATATCTTAAGTTAATTGAAATAATAATAAAAATATAAATAACTTTACCACTACTCCTTGCAAATAAAGTTGGAACAGCATCAGAGTTTAGAATTAAATATTTTCCTGTTTTTCTGAAGCAAGTGTTGTCGAAATGATCACTGCACAAAAGACTTCTCTTTGTTACTTCCACATCTTTCAGATTCATTGCAGATAGCCATTTTTGTAATAGTATAGGATTTTCAACAGGAAATCTGTTATAAGAAAAAAATAAAATTTAACTGAAACTAAAATTTACTAAATAACATTTTTTTAAAAATATAATTAAAATGAATCAGGAGAAAATGCATTACTTTTACTCATATCTTTTGTGTAATTAAAAATTAATTTTTATTAAATATTAGCAAAAATAAACAAAATTTGTAATGTTTTTTTAATATTTGAATGCATATACACTTACTTTCGATAGGACCTATTTTTATTAACTCCTTTTATTTCATGGCAATAAATGCAGCTGGATTTATATGTTTTAAATTTTGTAGGGATACTTCCTGATAATAAAGTTCCTTTTATTCTATTTTCAAGGCATTCTTTCTCAAAATGATCTGAACATAATCGAGCCAATTTACTAGGCTTAAAGTTTGGCCCTAATTTCATATTTTCAATCCATTTTTCCACTGAGAAAAATAGAGTTTGAAAAACTGGGAGTCAATATTGAAAAAACTGGACTCACTCCAGTAAAAGTACATTAATTCATTTCCATCAAGCATCTTAGGGTGTTACGTATAGTGTATAGAGGGCCTTAGTTCCAAATGTCACTGTAAAGAGCATTGAAACACAGGCGAAAATTATAAGGCGCGCTGCAGTGTGCATAGTAGAGAAACTGGACTCAGTCCCCTACTTCGAAATTTTCACAATGAGGGAACGCAGGCGCGGAACCTGTCAAAATAAATGGCCGACGCGACGCGAAACGAGTGTTTCCTTTTATTTACTTCGTCAATTTTATATAAAAAAAACAATAACCAATCATTAAAAAAAAGAAAAATATGTTAAATGCACTCTTTATATATTCATATTCATTAATTCACAAGTTTTATTCTTCCCACATCTTCATACTTACAATTAACAACTAAATGCATCGGAAAATCTTACAATCATACGGGATTGAACACCTACCTAACCATACAACTAAATATACGCATAATTATAAATCGCACGCTTTTACATTAAGCCTCTCGGCTACGCAATCGATGGGGGAAATTTCCTATTTAAGAAACATCCCTTACCAATGAAATAAATTAGATCATGCGTGGATTTTACTTTGTAATTAATGTAAGTATGGATGTCAACAATATTCATAATATTGAATAAATAATATTGTCAACTAGTTTAAATTTGATACGGTTATTAGAATTTAATAATAAATAAATAAAAAACATTAATTTTTTCTTAATAACCTTGAAACCTTTTTTAAGTTTGACAGTCCTCATGGTAAATTTGATTATTCTTTTTTTTTCGTGTACAAAATAGTGAATTGACCTTGAATGAAATGTATAATTAATTATTCTCACAGCAATATTTAATAATTTAATGAACTTAACTGCACTGCATAATAGTTGAGAGTAGTAAGAGTAAGTGAAACGGTAAGATAAGTGAACGACTATTAGTGTGAGAGAGAGAGAATAACTTGTGGTTTTCGAGTAGGTATCTACTTTATGTGCACGGCGTTCATTTTTCGAAAGAACTGGACTGAGTACTATTTGTTCAATATTCGCTTCTATTATTGACTTGTGTTTTGTACACTGCCGCGTTCTTTTAACAATTACATGAGAGAGTAATTTCTCATTCAAATTTTTTATACTCTTATTCCCTCTTAGACTATATAAACAGTCTTGTTTAAGCTGATGAATGGGATAACTTGTGTTGAGTCCCAAAGTGTTCAGCTATGAAACTTCTAATACTATAGTGTGTACCTGTCACATATTATTCTATAAAGGAGTACTACACTGACTGCATAAATCATTTTTCCATTTTTCTCCGTGTCCAGCAGTTTCTTATCATTACATGGAAAACTTGTAAAATTAATTGTATATAAATTAAATAAAATTGTTTAAATTATAATGAACCAGATAAATATACCTATCAATGAAACAAAAATTTGATATACACAAAAACATAACCTACTTTTAATCAGTTTACTTACGTGTGAAAGGAACGATCAACATCTGCTACTTGTGGCTCTCCGCAATAAATACATTTACGTACCATTATAATGTTATGTAATTGAATTTAAAAACTTTTTTTACAGAAATAAACATTACAGAAAACATAACCATCCATACTCATTGCACATGTCAACACAAACAAATCACATGTTAATGCGCACGCGTGAAAAACAGCCACCAGTTGGTGAGCCTTCAAGTCGTTTCAACCGGAAGTCGACTGTCCTCTATCCAGTAGTAATACATATCAATGGTGCTCGCGCGTGTGCCCTTTTAAGATCCGGAGCCTCAATTTTAACATAAAATTATTTTCCATGTGTTTTCTCATTTTTTCCTGACTATTCCCTGACTTTTTCATACAAAATAAAATTCCCTGACATTTCCAGGTTTTCCAGGTTTCCAAAAATTGTAGCAACCCTGTATATACGACAAAAAATTTTTAATATTGTTCATTCAAATAATATATTAGATTTTACTTTATTCAAATAAGTTGATAGTTTAGAACATATGTTCCATGTCATAAAATTTGAGATTCCTAATATCATTTTTAGGCATGAGAAATACGTGTTCTTCACAATACTAATATTCGGATTAGATCAGTAGCGTAACAAGAGAGGCCGGGGCCCTGGGGCGAGTAAAGCCTCGGGGCCCACTAGTAGAAATGAAATTTGATTAACAGTGGGAAATACCTACCAAATACCTTACAGCAGTAATAAAATTACTCCTGATTCTCTTTCAAAACATTTATTAAGTTTTTCTAGTCGTAAGAAATATTAATGGAAGAATGTTGAGACTAGATAACAAGCTTGAAGTATATTTACTCAAAGTCATAAATAAAAATTTTAGTATAATTTATTATAACAATTTGACAATAGAATAATTACAATATATGTAGGAATATTATTTTTAATAAAAGAGATATTCCTATAAATGTTATTTTATTTAATTATATGTAAAAATGACAATAAGTAGTTATAATTAATATCTTTTGAAATCTTTTAAGAATAATTGGCATTTGATTAATATTCGTTAGTCTGCTCTTATTCGTAGCCGAATAAGGACTGTCCCCAGAACAGCTCATCGTAGCCTCGTCCACCAGCTCGTCTTTGTTCATCGTAGGCTATGTTTTGTCTACCAAAAGTTGATAAGCCCAAAATGTTTATAAGACGAGCGATCAGGCCACCATTTCCCCGAACTCCTTGGTTCCAATGAAAGTGTTCAAATAATTCTACTTCATTCGGCTTTCCTGACAAATTGGTCGTCCTCGGCCAGTGGTTGACAATTGAACAGTATCTAAATAAAATAAAAAAAAAAATTTGTTATTTTCTTTAAAGTTCATTTTAAGAGTTTTCATAAACAATTCCAAAACACATGAAACATCAATTGAAAGTGATCAGTTTTCGCAGAGGATTCAAATGACTTGCAATTATTATAATGAAAACTATTTTTTTGAGAAAGGTTCTGTTAGTTAGGAACTTTTGTAACGCTTCATAAGAGCCATTCTGAAATAATCAGACGCTCTTAAACTCAGCGCACCTAGTTGCCAGTCTTGCCAGGAACGCACCTAGATCTAGATAGCCAACCAACCACCTAGATCCCCATGTTGAACCTGACTGCGACTATAGTCCCGGTCTCCGCCTAGTGATCCCTCTGCGGAATAAGTTTGACCACTTCTCACTCCTAGGATTACTAGACTTGACCCCAGTTGGCTTAACTCCAACTATAATGGTCCCTGCCTCCGCCTAATACTCCCTCCGGTAAGAGCTTGACCATTTCTTTACCTAGGAATATTAGACTCGGCCAATGTACAACACTTGTACTCAAACTACTCACCAAGCTACTCAGTGGCATCGAATGTGATCCACCTACGTAAGCTGTCCACCGCCACAACACTGCGGTGATTTGGTGATTTCTTGAGGTCACGAAGATCTTGGACTTCGTACCTATCATTGGGCAGGACTGCTGTAACCTTGAAAGGCCCCTTTGCCTTAGCTGTTAACTTCCTGCTTTCTCCCGTAGCCACAGGGTTCGCCTTCACCATGACAACATCCCCTACTGTGTATGTTGGTGGTTTGAACCTACGAGAGTCAAATCTTCTTTTCTGTTCCAACTGCTCAGCATCTGTGGATGCCTTTGCATCAGTCCTCATCTGTTGCAGATCAACTTGATCAAGGGTATCTTGAATACTGGCAATCAATTTCGCATCGGCCATACTGCGTGGTTTATACCCCATTAACAATTCATTTGGTGATCTTCGCGTTGTTCTATTTGTAGAGCAGTTAATAGCGCTTTGCACTTTTTTAATATTTTCGTCCCAAGAGTCTTCGGTCCCACCAGCACAGGTAGCTGCCAGTGAGTCAAGGACAGTACGATTCATTCGCTCACACTGCCCGTTCGCTCGAGGTGTTGCTACGGCATTAAGAATGTGTTTAATGCCGTATTCTTCACAAAAGGCCTTGAATGAGTGAGATGTAAAAGCTGATCCTCTATCACTAATAATTCGGGATGGAACTCCGAAAATTGCAATCAGCTGATTAAGTGCTTTTAATACCCCTTTTACAGAAGTGTTTCGAACAGGCTCCAAAATACAAAATTTTGTAAAAGCATCTACAATTGTGAGAATTTGAGTATTTTTTTTATTACTACGAATAAATGGTCCAACATGATCAAGGTGAATAGTATGAAATGGGATTGAGATCTTTTCTATCGGATGCAATAGTCCTGGTTTTCGGCCTGATGGATTTTTATAATATAAACAATTTAAACAGGACTTTACATATTTGAAAACAAATTTTCTCATACTTTTAAACCAATAGTGTTCTTGAATTTTTTCTAACGTTTTTTCAAGAGCAAAATGTCCCTGTTCATCATGACATAATCTGACTACATTAAACCGAGACATGCGAGGGACTACCCATTTATTGCCAGAGTCAGTCTTTCGAAAAAGTACCCCCCCTTTTAGGTCATATTTATCGAAATATTGCTTCGTATCTGATTGTTTAATTCCCGATTCTAAAATTTTACGAATCACGTCAATGTCAGGGTCTTGTAATTGAGCCACTTTAATCCATTCTTTTTCTGTAATGTCTATAGCAAGGCAATCTATTGGATTGCGACTCAAATAATCGACATGTGCAATTTGAGTACCAGGTCGATATTCAATATTAAAATCAAAATCTTGAAGGTAAATCCACCAACGTGCTACTCGTGGTTGAATATCCTTTTTGTTAGCAGTGGCTCGAATTGCGATGCAATCAGTAACAACAGTAAATTTAATGCCTATTAAATAGACACGAAAATGTTTGAAAGACGAGAATACAGCCAAAGTTTCTAAGTCGTATGAATGGTATCGCTGTTCTTCGGGAGTTGTTTTTCTACTGTAATAGGCTACAACATATTTTCTGCCTTCCCGTTTTTGTATTAGTATAGCGCCTATACCTACTGCACTCGCGTCTGTGTGTACCTCGGTCTCTAACGTACTGTCATAAATGGCCAAAACAGGCCGCTCGGACAATATTTTCTTTACAGTTTGAATTGCTTCTTTCTGTTCTTGGCCCCATACGAATGGTGCATTTTTACGTAATAAAATAGTTAAAGGTAAAACTATTCGTGCAAAATTCTTTATAAATTTACGAAAATAGCCGGCAAGACCCAAAAATTGTCTAACTTGTTTTACATTTATTGGATCGATGACGTTCATTACAGCGGTTACTTTATTTGTTCCCGGTCTTACGCCCTCACTTGAAATTTCGCGGCCTAAGTACTCGATTTTTTTCTGAAAAAATCTACATTTCGTTAAATTAAGGGTTAATCCGTTTGCCTTTAAGGCCTTTAAAACATTTTCTAATGCAATAAATGCTTCTTCCATTGTTTCAGAGGCAATTAAAATGTCATCAAAATAAATCAGCGCGGTATTTTTTTAAAATTTTATTCATTGCTTTTTGAAATACGGCGGGAGCATTAACTAAACCGAATGGCATTCGTAAAAATTCATATTGTCCGTCGGGTGTTATGAAAGCAGTTTTTTCTATTGAGTCTGGGTGCATAGGAATTTGATGGAAACCAGATTTCATATCTAATGATGTGAATATTCTTTTATTTTTAAGTTGATCTATTTGATCATCTATCAAAGGTAAAGGATATTGAATGCGTTTAGTTATTTTATTAAGCGCTCTGTAATCTATAACTATTCGCCATTCTCCATTCTTTTTTTTAATAAGAATTATAGGACTCGCGTAAGGTGCATTGCTTTCACGGATAATTTTACTCGCTTCTAATTCTTCTAAAATTTCTTTTACAACTTTACGATCGGAGAGAGATAGTCGATATGGAGCATGATAAACCGGTGTCTCTGTCATTAAATCAATTTTCATTTCGGTAGCAGTACATTTGCCTAGTTCTTCGATATTAAATGACACGGTTTTACGATATTTGTTTAACAATTCTATTAATTGTTCTTTAATTTCAAAATCGAGATTTTCAGTTTTGATATCTGCTTCTTCTACAGGTTTCGCATGACTCATATCGACCATTTCTACTTGCAGTGTATTATTTAATTTTACTGAGTCGTCCAAAGTAAATGTTATACCAGTCATATCTGATATTGCTTTTGTTCCGGATTTAAGCAAAACATTTCTACCAATTATTACTTCTTTTGCTAATTGATTGTCTTGGACAATAAATACTTTAATTGTAAAAGGAATATTATCAATGCAAATTTTAATTTTTGATTTAGCAATGGGTGTGACTATCGCGTGATTAAATCCGGTTAATATTTGACTTGTATTTTTAAATTTTATATTTAATTCTCGAGCTAAACTTTCTCGGATTATTGAACAATCACTTCCCAAATCTACGGTGCATATTCTTTCTTTCAAATTTAAAAGGCAAGTTTTTATCGGTTTGTTTACATTTCCCGACCCAACAACGAATACTTCTTGGTTTGACATCTCTTCTTGAAGGGACCCCCCGTCGTTCCCTAGTCATGCAGTTCCCTCTTTTTTATCTTTATTCTTTTTCTTGTAGCATTCCTTTTCTAAGTGCCCTATTTTATTACAAAAATTACATTTGGGTTTTTCCTTAGTCGATCTTTCGGAAGGTTTTTCGTTTTCGGATTTGTTCTCTTTACGCGTATCGTTTTCGGATTTGTTTGATTCACTATTTTGCAATTTAGGACATCGATTTTTTCTATGACCTTTTTCTCCGCAATTATAACATTCATCGGGTCCAAAAGATTTAAATGGACGTTTACCCTTTTCGTGTTTAACAAATCTTTTATTGTCTGACGTATCCTTATTTTTCTTTAAATCTTTAGTGTCCTCAACTGACAAAGATCCTAAACATTGACTTAATTCGGCTATTGAATTTATTTTTGAAGTCATTAAACTTGTTCGCAATTGTTCGTCTTGAATCCCGTAAATAACGAATTCAACTATTTTTTGTTCAGGTATTTCTAGATTTAGACGGTTGATTCTTTTGATTTTTTCAAAGCAATATGACAAATAAGACTGACCTGACTTACTTTTATATTGACATGCGTTTTCAAATAACTTTCCAAAATTTTCATCCCCTGAAAATTGCCTGAGAATAGCTACTGTAAAAGCATCCCAACTAATTGGTGCAATCTTAAGACCATCATACCAACTTTTTGCAATCCCCTTTAGTTTCAATGAGGCTAAATAAATTTTATGAGATTCATCCCAATCATACATCACAGCAAACATGTTAATTTTCTCTAACCATTCCGCGGCTGATAAATCTTTTTTTTCAGGATCAAATTCTGGCAACAATTTTTCATTTAAATATTTATTTGATGCTTTACTGCCTGTCTTAACAATTGTGGTTAGCACTTCAGCTAGTTTTGCAAAATCGGACTCACCCTTTTGTGATCTAGAGTAGTTTCTCGTCATCGACCTGCTTCTAGTGCGACTTCTGCTTCTTGATAGACTCCTACTCATCCTTCTGTAGTCATAGTCGATTCGAGATTCCCTTGAATGACTTCTGCGATGTCTTCGCCCTGAAGAACTTCTAGACCTTCGCCTTCTGTTGTCTCTTTCCTTTTTTCTTGAAGATCGTCGTGAAGAGGAATCATCTCTCACACTATCTTCGAACCTTTGTTTCTTCGAATGTTTTGCACTCACGTGTTTATCACTTCGCGGCATTTTCAAAGATCTTTTCTTTTAATTATTTATTTATTTTTTTAAAAGAAATGTCTCACTAATATTTTTCTTTCAATACACAAAAAGAAAAATTTACACCTAGTTAATTTGTCTATAATATATCAGGGGCAACGCGCCGTATCGACACGTGTTAAGTATCCCACTTCTGAACTGTAGGAATATTATTTTTAATAAAAGAGATATTCCTATAAATGTTATTTTATTTAATTATATGTAAAAATGACAATAAGTAGTTATAATTAATATCTTTTGAAATCTTTTAAGAATAATTGGCATTTGATTAATATTCGTTAGTCTGCTCTTATTCGTAGCCGAATAAGGACTGTCCCCAGAACAGCTCATCGTAGCCTCGTCCACCAGCTCGTCTTTGTTCATCGTAGGCTATGTTTTGTCTACCAAAAGTTGATAAGCCCAAAATGTTTATAAGACGAGCGATCAGGCCACCATTTCCCCGAACTCCTTGGTTCCAATGAAAGTGTTCAAATAATTCTACTTCATATATATTAAAGTAAAAATTTTATCTTTAGAATTTATTTAAACAAGATTTTTAGTTTCAAATATGTTCATATTAAATATCAATAATAATTTATTAATTTAATAAAATGAAAAATAATAATAAATATAATAAATAAATAAAATAATTTAAAAAATTAATAATAATCTAAGTTTTATAATTAAATCGTCTTAATCGCGGGGCCACGGGATTTCGCCCGGTTTGCCCTATGGTAGTTCCGCCACTGGATTAGATATAATACCAATTTTCAGTTTTAGTGATCTGATTACATCTCACGTCCGATTCCAGTGATAGTTTATGCCTAAATCTCAGATTAAATCTCTAATTTAGAGATTAATTTTTTTCCGTGTGATTATATAAAATGATGTTTCATCACTTATATTATTATTATACTGATTATTTATTTTATAACTAATAGTTCTTTATATTATTTTTAATTATAAAATTTTATATACATATTATTTGTGAAATGATTCTAAAATGATAACAGACACAATTAAATATAAGAAATAGTTTATTTCCAATAAATATGCAGTCAGACATATTGATTTTTGATCCGTGAAAAATTGTTACGCATTGTCTTTTTTTGTTAATTCTTCATATTTACGTAAAAAATTCACATACATAAAAAATTTATATTTTTACAAAAAATTTGTATTTTCGGATATGTTTTTTATTGTAGAAAATAATTTAGAAAAAAATGTTTTTAATAGATTTTTAAGTGAGAGAAAAGAAGAAAAAAAACAGCTAAACTATACTCTGCTTACTTCGCTCGCAATGATTGCTCATTAGAAAATTTAACGAACAGGAGGTCGCGAGACAAGTATACTAGTGTATCGTAATACTGACAGTAAAGAGATTACCGTATCATTAAACTTAAGCTCACTGCTTTAATATCGCTTATAATTAACTAAACTTATTATTATACATGTACATTATACTTATACATATTATATATGAATATAATGTTACGTCTACGCTGTGATTATTATTAATATTATTATTAATTAATTATATTTTTAAAACTATTACATTTATTACAGTACAATATTTAAGTTGTGACTTTAAACACAGGCGCATTATCTGTTAATTGAGAATTAAATGGTATTTAAAAAAATAGAAAAAAAGAACAATTATTTTTAAAAGTAACAAATTGAAAAAATTCTCATTAAAAAATATCAACTATTCTGTCAAGTGTCGAATTATAAAAAAATAATTTTGTTACATTATGATATTAACAAAAAATATAACATTGACATTTGTAATTTTTTTCCAAATTACTCTTTTCCTCATAATTTTCAACATAAATAAGATCTGTAACTAAATATTAAATAAATAATGGCACATTTGTGCTCGGCTATCAAAAATATGTACAAAAGATTTGTTTTTTTAAGATTTCCTAGGCAAATTAAATATTATTTTTAAGACCTTTTTTTGCATGAGAAAAAGGTAGTTTATGAACGAGAAGGAATATTTTCATGTGTTCAGGTGTTTGTAAAGTACATTATTTTGCATGTTCTCTCGACCAAGAAGTTTTGGCAGTGTTTGTCCGCAGTACAAAAAGAAGAAATAGAAAAGAAGAAGAAAATAATAAAAAATTCAAGATATCTTCTATTATTCTAAAAACCGACAGTCACATCTGGATCGAGAATTTCTAACTTCTTTTCCACAGGAAAAAGCTGGTGGCAAAAAGAGAAAGATAGAGATTTATTTTATCGTCAATCACAGTCCAATGCTATGAGAAAATAAATATCGTTTTTGTTTCATTTTTTTTTCTTTGTTTTCTTTTGACTAGATTTTTCCTTGGGAAGAGAGAAATATTTTCACCGCCTGAGCAACATGAAAGAAAATTCAACGCTTCCTTCTCATCTTTATTTTCAAAAATTTCTGTACAAAAATTCGCAAAATTTATTATTCTATTTTTGCGAAGGAAATTTTTGAAAAACGGAAACGACTTTTTCCGTTTTTCATTATTTTGACATCTTTTTACAGGATTCTTAGAAAATTCGCAGAAAACAAACGTCTTTGGAATTTTGGAGAGAATTAAAGATATTTTTTTAAATACTTTTCCTTTGAAAATAAATTTTTAATGTAATTTTTGCTAGTCAAAAACTAATATTTTTTTATTTCAAGACGCTTTAACTATGTACATTAGAAAAAATGTCTTATAATTCTAAAATTACATACAAATATTTTAGAAATATTTGAAAAATAAGAAGAAAAGTCGACTAATATTTTATTCTAAAATTCCAAAGATTTTTATTTGACTAGCGTTTTTTTATTTTGTTGAACTCTTGGGGATTCTCTAATCCCTGAGTTCGAAGAAGGAATTATATAGTTGATCCTCTTAAACGAGAACTTCGAGACTCTCGCGGGAATGTGCTTTTTGTTGACTCGATTTTCCATTCGCTTGCACTATCATTGCAACCGACTGACATCCGGATTCATAGCTAGATGGCCGTATTGGTGGCATTGCCAGTCTCAATTTATACCAAAATTCATAACCACCAGCACCAAAATCGCCACCCTCGTCCCAATGTAAAATTTTTAAGCGATCAAATATAATTCTTTCCTCATAACTGCGCCTCGAAGATTTTGCCATTGTCGTTAAATTTGGTAGATTCTTCAAAGTGACAATAATTGTTCTCGTTGATAGATTCGACAACTGCTTAAAAACAGATGAGACATTTGAATCTGACCAATTATTACTCAATGATGCTGGACTCAGAATTAAAATTACTCTTCGTGCTGATGATGCGTGTGTTCCAATTTCCAAAGACCCTGTAATGGAAAAATGCAATTTAAAATCAATTTTTTTCTAATTTTGTTGTAATTCATTTTGTAATTTCTATCATCAATTGGAATTTTTTTGAGAATTTTAATTTTAATAAACGTTTTTTAACATAATATTGAAAAACTTTAAAATAAAGATATTATGAAGAGTGTTAATTGAAATGAATGTGACGAATAATAAAAGAAAACAGTATATTACTACTGGATTGAAAATTAATAAAATAAGTTTTGCCCAGCAATTAAGAGAATCGCAAATAGTATTACATTAGTTTGGAAACTATTTTGTATGTGACAAACGAGACAGTTGGTTCAAAAACAAGGGTGAACTTTCTAATTTAATTTACAAAGTTCTGACTCGTGATTTCATGATCTTGAAGGATCTCTATTACCCACTCGAGTCCCACGAATCTTCCGGGAATTCGCTATATATAATAATAACAACAACAACAAATCACAATGCAATATAATTTTATTCCCATAGTGACGAACAAAAGAGCGAATTCTCCGAAAATGACGAAAAGTCAAGAAATTTTGATTGCATATCTTTTGAATTAAAGCAGGAATCTTTTGCAATATAATTGAATATTATTTTATGAATATATTTACAACGTCTAGTCTCGTAAATCGAACAAAAGAGAAAATTTGACTCACAGAGAGAGGATTTTTTAAAAATATTTCAATTCACTATAATATTAAGATAAAAAATGACGATGGAATATTTACTTTATATGTAGGGGAGACTAGGTGAAGTTGTTACAATTTTGATAAAATCAGTTACAGTGAATAGAGTTTTACTACAATTTGTTTGGTCATACAGTTAAATCAAAGGTATATTATTTAGTTTTAAAAGGCCATAATTTATTTAGTTCTATATCTGTGACGCTCCACGAGAAAAGGGACCTTATTTACTCTTGTCATAAGGTCCCTTTTCTCGTGGAGCGTCACATCTATTATTTAATTAACTAGAAGCATTTGAGTGACAGCGTGTAAATTGTAACAACTGCACAAAGTGAATGTCGGTTGTTACAATACCAAGAATCATCTATAACATTTCTAAATTGAAGACAAATAATTTTTTATAACAATTTTTATTAATTATTCATAATTTTTGGCTCGACGTAATAGTACGTGACAGTTCCATAGAGATGGCAGCACTAATATTGTTTCGAAATGAAAAAAGTTTAAAAAGTTTTTTTTCATTAATTTTGAAGTCGAATTTAGAAAAAACATGAGATTTTTCATAAAAAATGAGAGCGATTACATTTTTGACAAATATTTTACATTTCAAACGAATCTGCTGAATTTTGGAAAAAATATCGGTTGTCATCATCACTTGTAACAACTGCAAAACAGGTACATTTTCTACAATAAATCACTTTATTAAAAAAGTATACACTAAATGTGGACAACCAAGGCAGTTTTTTAAATCTTAATCCCCATAGAATTGATATTAAAAAATTTACTTTGTTAAGTATAAAGGTCTATTAATTATTTAAAGAATATCAAGCAGAGAAATATTTACTTTTGGCCTCTAAAAACCAATGTGCATATTTTTTTACTTGTAAAGCTTGCATATAATTTTTAAACATATTGCAGAAAGTTCGTACATAAAAACTAAACATTTTTCCTTTGGGAACCCCATCTCTACAATTCACTGTTTCTGAGATATTCCATTTGTAACAACTGCACAGCATAACAACCGCACCTAGTCTCCCCTATACTAATTATATGTATTGGCGTGTACACTTCTCATGTAATAGCCTCATAATGACATAATGCATCATTACGTTGATGTAATGCCACCTAATGTAGCTGTGTTACAGTGTAATACCTTGTGAATTTTGGTAATACATATAAGCCTGGTTACATTGTATGGTGTAAATTAAGCTTGAGAAGCAGAGGAATAGTTAAATATACGCCTGCGCATGCGTAAATTTAACTTTTCCTCTGATTCTCAAGCTTAATTTACTCTTCCGCATACTTAACCTACTACAGTATAACCAGGCTTTAGTATATTGGAAAGTACACTTTTTTAACTAGTGAATTCCCCCTCGAAAAAGGATTAAACGCAAAAGAATAAAATATGAAATCGTTAAATATTGAAACAGTTAAGGGCATGTGGGAAATATCCCTCGAAAAAAGTGGTTTCCCGCATGTGGTCTCACTCCTAAATTATTTGAGATATCTCGTTCGGATATTCTCGAAATTTTCAGGTAATGTTTAGAAGAAATATTGAAAAACGTAGTTATAAAAATTGCATTTTTGGTGGCAGATTTAAAAAAATATCTCAACCTCAAAAATTACTCTAAAATCAATCTTTAATAAAATAATTCCCTCCCAAAATTATTGTCAAAATGGAGAAGAGCACGTCTCAGTGAGCGAAATTCCTATCACTTCTACAAATATGAACTCGAAATATTTTATCCTCTTAAGATTAGAGGATACTTTCATGAGAGATAATTTTCAAATCGTTCCAAACCCAAAAATTTTTCGAATATTTAAACAATTTTTTCAATAATTATTTATAAAAATTCCGAGAAGAGCGCTGGTTAGGATGCTTTCCTCTATATTTTCCAAAAGATCTGAACCAGAGCTGTGCAAATTAATTCGAACCGAACTGTTCTAAATTTTTCGTCTTGTTCGAATGTCGAAAATTCGACATTTGAGATGCATTGTTCAAATGTCGCATATTCGACATTCGAGTTACTCAGAGAGAGCTGTGAACTGTGCAAAATTTGAATCAATCGAGTTTTGTTCGGTTTTGGAGCGCTAAAATGTCGAATTCTACACAGCTCTAATCCCGACCCAAAATATTCTTTTCTTCTTAAATGAAATGTCGACATCGAAACCACTTTTTCTCTCACCTGAAGAATATTCAAAATACTAGAATAGTGAAGTAATTAAATAAGAAAATAATATGGAAAGTAAAATATTATATTATTTTATCACTTTTTGTTGTTTCATTTAAACATTTACTGACTCGGAATGATCGTTCACTGAAAAAAAAATATTCTTGTTTTTAGAGGATTCCTCTTATTTCTATGCATATTTTCCTCTTGTATATGGCTCAAAAAACGTCCTCTTATTTTAAGAGGATTATTCTCCACTTAAGAGTAATTCCTCTTAAAAGTAGAAGAACAGTCTCCAATGAAGAGTAATATTCTTAATTCAAGAATAAAATGTAAGAGGATTTTAGAAGAGGAATTGTCCTCTTAAAACAAGAATATTTTTTTTCGGTGTTAAATTCAATGTTTTATTAAATATATAAAGTATTTTAAAATAATAAAATACTGAAGAGATGGAAAATATATTAAAGTAATACAACGCTAGAATGTTTAAACATGAAACTACTACACTGAGAGAAGAAAAGCACAGATTCTGAAATGGAAAAGTTCAGCATCTGTACTTCAATTGAACGCAGCAGTAGTGCCACTGTGTGATAGGTGTCGTGCTAAAATGTGAAACGGATTTTGACTTTGGCTTGAGGTACAGATGTTGTACTTCAAATGCTACTGTTTAAGGAGAGTCCAGAATAGAGTCGAACGCGCTGATAGTAACGCGCTCGTCCATATGGAATACATACACTACAAAAACTGGTATCTCACTCGTGTCTTAAAATGAGTTGCTTTAAGTGTTTAAACCATTGAGATACAAAATCTGTTTTATATTGAGACATTTAATTTCATCTCGTGTCTCATTTTAAGACATTAAAGGTAACTCAATGCGTATAAGACACGTAAAACGTCTTCTTAGTGTGAGACGGATACTCGAAACACATTTCGTGTCTCAAAATGCATTGCTAAATGTGTAAGACACTTTGAAACGTCTTAAAATGAGACACATATCTGTTTCAAATATGTGGACTAAGACATATCTTATGTGTTTCAAATATGGGACAAAACGTCTCAAAATGAGACACTTGTTTTTGCAGTGTAGGAGGAGCGCGTTAGTATCAGCGCGTTCATACCGACGTCGACTCTATTCTGGACTCTCCTTTAGAAGTACAGTATCTGTCGGTCGCTATGAAACAGATCCTGTACTAATTAGTTCGTACCGCCGCCGCGCTGCTTGAGCATAGTATCTGAACTATGAATGACACCAACTATAAATAAAATTAAGAACGGGCACTGACACGCATTTTACATGGCCGGTGTTTGTCACAGTACGGATTCTGTGCTTTTCTTCTCTCAGTGTAGAATATTTAATATCAAAATATCAAAATTCGAAAAAGCCAAAAATAACAAAAATTGAAACACTTTAAAGTTCATATAATTAAAATAAATTTACAACAAAAAGATGTTATTGCAAAAGCGTGCTGACATAAATTTAAAGCCAAATCGAATGATCGTTCAGAAAGAATTTTTCTTTTTATTTTTAATATTTTAGGTGGGAAATTAAATTTTTTAAAGGAAATTTCTGTATATACGATATCAAGGAGAATTTCAAGAAGAAAAAGCAGCTTTTTATGAGATTTTGATTATTCTCGTCAATTTCATCAATACTGAGACACATATATATGTATATAAATACACTCGTTTTATAGGGTTCATATTCTCGAGTGCTAGCTATAAAATTTCTGTTGCATCTTCAAAACACTTTGCCATTATTCATTCTCTCGTTTAAAATAGCACGTAAATAATAAATTATAGTTTCGTTCGTTCTCTTTAAAAGATGCAGAATACACTGGGGTCAAAAAGTTTCAGTACATTTGTACTGATTACTTTTAAATGCTCGCTTCACTTCAAATTCAAATATTTCTGTAAAAATAGATGTTAGAGCTATCAAACTAGGATCATTTTAAAGTTCAATAAATTTAGAGTCAAATAGGCTAAGACACAACTAATTTAATAGTGTAAATATTAAAAATATAATTCGTTAAAGTTAGAGATTTTTTGTGAAAATTGCGATTTTGAAATCTGGAATTCAAGCGCATGCCAATTAAAAAAAATTTTTTTAAGATTTGATAGTTGCACAATATCAAGTATAAA